CCGAGGCCAAAGGCTACCAGTACACGTTTGCCGTCACAGCCGTAATCCACTACGTAGGGGCGTTCATACTCGTGCCGGCTGCCGTTGCGGCGCACAGCATGGAGTGGCATCTCCGTCAATTAAAGCAAGCAGGACGTGGCACCGACTGAGATTATGAACTTTTCGTCTTCTCTATATATATATATATATATATCTTTCTCTCTCTCTATCTATTTTTCTTTTCGTGGTGTAGTTGCTGTTTGCTGACTTGTTTAGCTACGCGGCTGTAACCACTTCCTTCCTTTACTTCTTCACGCCCACGCAACGGAGGGGCGGCTCGCTGTGAACGCCAGGGTCCCGGGAGACCGTGGCGGTAGCGTGGCATCTTGTGCCAGCACCGTTCGCCGGGGGGGGGGTCTCACGGGTTGTTGTTGTTTTTACCCTGGCGAAAGTAAAAGAAAAGAAAAAAAAAATAGTTATTGTGATTGTTATTATTTTTTTCAAGGTGAAAAAAAAGGGAGGAAAAAAAGATGGGGGAGAGTGAGGGAGAATGCGTGGGAGCACGGGGATGCAGCCCACCACCTCGCATCGGCTCTTCAAGGGGAACCCCCCGCACTGAGACGTGCACGACTTCTTTTTTTTTTTGTTTTTCGGCGCTGCCACCACTCTTCTCCGCCTTCTCTTCTTTCACTGCGCGCTTCCAGCTGCGGTTAGCCTCGCTGAAGTGCGTTTGTTGTTATTGTTTTTTTTTCTGTTTTCGCCTTAAGGAGAGGCACACGTGCGTGCGTGCGTGTGTGTGTGTGTAGCGTATGAGCGAGGGAGCTTGTGGTAGACGCCACAGGCGGAGGACCCTCCGTGGTGACTGGGCGGCGCTACACAACCCCAATGTCCGACGCGTGCTGGCCTTCTGCTTTATCGACGGGGCGTGCTTTTCACTGTGGTACTCGCAGGTGTTTCAGATCCTCATCAACCGCCTCTCTGGCGACACAACCGTTGGTTGGCTGTCGGCCACCTCTGGTGCGGCGCAGATGGCGGGCGCGCTTATTGCTGGCTTTGCCGTTGGCTTACCACGGCAGACGCTTATTAGGCTTGGCGCATTCAGCGGCATGGTGGCCGCCGCCCTCTCGCTCTTTGGCGTCTCCATGCTGCAGGTGCACGTCTTCTTCTTCTCCGCGATGCTGTGGGGGCTGTACTCCGGGATGGTCTCCACCGGGACGGAGGCGTTGTTCGCCGACAGCATCGAAACCGGCCGGCGCGACTTTGCGTACAACCTGAAGTGGGTGAACCAGACCCTGTGCGACTGCGTCGGCTCCGCAGCCTCGCTCGTCATGCTGCTGAGGCTCGGCAACGAGTGGGACGTAAGCAGCCTGCAGATGCTCATGTACACGGGTGTCTCGCTGCACCCCGTCGCCCAGCTGGCGCTCTTCACGCTGAAGGACAAGTATGCGCTGGAGGAATACGTGGGGGGCCACGCGTCGCAGCACGTCGTTGCCTCCGACGCCCCCGAGGCCCCAGGGCCCGGCAAGGAGGCGACAACACCCAGCCAGACGAGCAGCGACCCTCTCACCTCGAGCGAAGGCGTGTCGTCGACAGAGCACCCTCTGCTCGCCGCACCTGACACGCAGAATCCAGCCGAGGCGGCGACATTGGAGCTGGGGGAGTGCGCAAAATTGTATGAGGCCGGCGTGGCGCAGCGTGAGGCCGTTCTCGCCCGTCTTGCGCTGCGGAGCGCACGAAAGGAAAGGGCGTACCTTGCGGCGCAGGAGGCGCGAAACCCGGCGGCGCGCGCGGTGGCGGCGGCGTGGCACCATGCAACGGCCGCCTTTGAGTGGTCGGCGGTGCCGTATTTGGTGTGCCTCTTTGACTTTCTCGTGGCAGTTGGCTCCGGCATGACGATGCGGTACATCCCGCTCTTCTTCGTCAACGACTACCATGTGTCACCGGTGGTTCTCATGAGCGTGTACATTGCCATCTCCGTCACCACCGCCGCTATATCGACGCTGGTGCGGTACCTCGGGGCGCACTACGTGAGTCGGGTAGCTGCCGTCTTTTCGGTGCGATTGGTGGGCACGACGCTGCTCCTCTTGATGGGTCTGACGCACCTCAATCTGTACATCCTGCTTCCGATATTTGTCCTTCGCAATGCATTGATGAACTCCACCCGCGGCGTCACCCGCAGCGTCATCATGGACTGCGTCTCAAAGTCCAGCCGCGCCAAGTGGTCCGCCTTTGAGAGCTTCTCCTCCCTCACATGGGCGGGGAGTGCGGTGATTGGCGGGTACATCGCCGAGGCCAAAGGCTACCAGTACACGTTTGTCGTCACAGCCGTATTCCACTACGTGGCGCTGCTGGGGCTCGCCCCGGCGCTGTATGGGGCCCGCGAGGTGGAACGGGCCCAGCGCGAACGTCGCTGGAGAGAAGACGCCGAGGAAAAGGGGTGGAAACGAGCCCTGCGTCGTCTGGGCTCCACCGGTGCCGTTTCGCCGACGAACGCGATTGAGGAGCGCGCGGATCCGCAGCAGCCGGCCGAGGAAAGGTCCTGCCACCCTCCGATGAAGTTTGAGTCACACCGCGGCGAGGGAGCGCGTGAAGCACGCGATGCCGCTTGCCGCGTGGAAGTGGCAGCAGAGGCATCTACACGTTCCGACACAAATGTGGCCTCCCGCAGCGGGTAGCCGCTGTTCAATCGGACGGCGACAGCAGAAGCCCTTATTTGGTGTTTTGTGCATCTTATCTCTATTTACTTTTGCCTTGGTTGTTGTTGTTTTTTCTTCTTCTTCTTTTTTGATTTGGATTCGCTTCCTGCCTGCTCTTATTCACTCAGCATGTCATTATTGTTCCTGCATCTTGAGTATCTCAGCACCCCTTCTTTCCTTTTCTTTTCACTCTCTCTATTGGAAATGCACCTGCGCTGTGTGCTTTTTCTCTCACTGTGTGGGTGCCTCTGCGAAAAGGATGCGAGAAACAAGTCTTGCCTTTGTTGTAAATATATATATATATATGTTTGTGTGTGTGTGAGAGAGAGAGAGGGGAGAAATTCGAGTTTATTTGTTTCTTCTTTTCAGTGTTGTTTTGTTGTTTCCAGCTGATGCTCACACTGTTGTAATAACGGAGGGGCGATGGGCACACGCGGCCGCGACGTGGTGCCTGGCGGAAGTGCGGTGGGTTTAGTCGCGGCCCCCCGCCGTCGACGTGCATCTGTGGTGTCTTTCTGCGCAACTTGCTCCCCGCCTTTTGTGCCGTTTTCTTTTTTTTTCTTTTTGCCGTTTTGCTCTGCCGCTGGGCGCGTGTGGAGGGTTGTTGCCGGCGCCCCGAGCCGCGCCGGGAGGAGGGACGCCACTCACCGCCGGGAAAAGGGAGGAGGGGGCGGGGGCGGAAATGGTGCAGTGCGCCCCCGCCGGCGCCGGGGACGCGGCGGAGACGTACGTCGCAATGGCAGTGCCGCTCCTGCACATGCTGCAGCAGCGGCAGACGGCGCAGGCCGCGGTGGTGGCGGACGAGATGCGGCGGCGGTGGGGGGAGCAGGCGGGGCCGGCGACCGAGTTGCTGAGGCTCCTGCGGCCCCACGCCACCGCGCGGCAGGAGCCACCGGAGGAGGAGGAGGACGGCCCTGCAAGCAGCACCTCCGCCGGCGACGGCGGCAGTGACAGTGACGGCAGCAGCAGCGACGAGGAGGAGGAAGACGAGGATGCGGAGGGCGATGCCGCTGTCGAGAGCGGGGACGTGATGCAGACACTGCGGCAAATTATTGAGCGGCTCCCGCCCCGCGACGCCGCGGGATCGCCAGCAACCGCGAGGGCCACGGCACCGGCGGAGCTGGCGGAGGAGACCGAAACTGAGGAGGAGAAGCGCATCTTCAGAGACATCGCTGGGGCCGTGGAGCGTGAGATGAAGCGGCTGGCGGTTATACGAAAGCACCGCTGAACGAACGCGGCACCCGTTGAAGTATGGGGCGAAGCGTTGGACGTGTGCCGCACCACGTGGTGCGGCCCTGTATTTTTTCTTGTCCCCGCCTTGCCTGCGTGTATGCCAATCTTACGAAGAGGCGGAGGCGACGCGCGGTTGCTTACGTGCATGTGCCCCTCCACAGACACACGTCGATGGTGCGCTTTTAAAGGCGTGTACGCGTACAGTTCTTTACTTCTCCCTCTTGCTGTTGTTTGCATTTAGCTCTCTCCCGCTCTCCCGCTGTGTGTGTGTGTGTGTGTTTCAACTGCGAGAGGTCGATGCGGCGCACATGGATACGGCTAGGTATGACGACCGTCACCAACGGAGGCGGCGGCACCACCATCACCAACACAGCTGCAGCACCAGCAGCAGCGGCGGCGGCGGCGGTTGTGCTTCCTCTGCAGTCGCAGCGTCGCATACGTGAAATCATGGTGCGGCGTATACTGCTCTCCTCGAAACCGCTCACGTCGCACGAGTTTGTAGAGCTGGTCAGGCGCGAGTATCACCAGGTAGAGGCGCCCGCACAATCGAAGTCAGGATCGGCGCACGAGGCTGAGGGCGCTGAGGGCCCGGCGACGCGAGCGGCGGGGAGTCGGAGGAGAAGTGACGTGGAAGTGATGGGGGACGCCGCAGCGCATAACCCCGTGGCGTACCTTCGCGGTTACCTCAGCTCTGCGTCGACGGAGACTGCTGGCACGCCGCCCGCCCGTGCCGCGGCCGCTCCCTGCCCTGTTGAGGCAACTGTGCGTTTACTGCTGGCCCTCGACTCACAGTTTCGCCTCTCCTCAGCTGGATATGTGTGCTACCCGAACTTGCCCTCGCTGTTTCTTGCCTCGAGTAATGTGGACCAGGATGCGGCGTGGGTGCAGGCGGGGCGTCGAATCCTGCGAGCGGACGAGGCGAGGCCCCGCGGCAGCGGCGGTGATGTTGCTGTCAGGGCGGCAACTGGGGAGGGCGCGGGGGAGGCGTCCCGCTGGACGTACATGCTTAGCCTTTGGTTCATGCTGGACGCCTTAGCCGAGTCGGTCGAGGCGGTGGGCGAGAAGGGCGCGGCAACCGGCAGCCACGGCGCGCACGCCAGCGCGTTCGTTTCAACGCAGCTCATGCATCACTGGATAGCTGCGGCTGACGCGCGTGAGCTGCCACCGCTGCTGTTGCAGGAACTCGCGGCCGCAGGGCAGCGGGACGTCCCAAGCGCACGATGCGTGTCCACCTCGCTGGAGCTGCGGGAATCTGTGGAGGGGAACGACATGTTCCGGCGCTGGTGCTCCGAGGCCAGGGAGGGCTACATGAGCGACATCCTCCTGCATGCCCCGCAACTCACCCAGACTCACTCGCTGCTGTTGCAGCAGGTCAACGACCAGTTGGCATACCTATTTACCTTCATGCTTGGCGCCCCCATCCCGCTGGGTCGGCTGTCGGCGCTGATTCAGTGGGCGAGTCTTCCCTTTGCGGAGCACTACCGCTCCCTGCTTCACTTCCTCCTCCTCTACGCGGGCAACCCCGCCGTGGCACAGATGGAGCGGCAGTTGCGACGGCGCCGCAAGGCCCAGAAGCGATGGACGGATGTGCTGCGGTCCCGCCTGAAGGAAGCCGATGGTCGCCGCTGGCACCCTGGCAAAAGTTACATGCTGGCGGGTCGCTACGCCTCGCGTGAGCGCGTGGAAGAGACGCCAGGCGCTGCGTTCGGCAGCTACGACCACGGCGGTGCGTCGGGTGGCAAGGAATCGGGGGAGAGACGGATATCCAGCGAGCTGTGTGCGCTGTGGCTGCGGAACAGCGGCGGCACCCTCGTTAACGCGAAGGAGACGGCTGTGTGTCGTTGCCTCTTTTTGCAGCCGGCGGAGATGACGCCGCTTGAGGTGACGACGCAGACCCCGTCCGAGGTCCTGGAGGGTTTTGCTGGGGCGGCGGGGGTGGAGAATGACGTGGTGGTCTTCTCTGTTTTGCCGTACGTCTTCGAGCGCCGTGTCTGCCGCGTAATTCGTGCGTGGTGGGCGCTCGAGGGGCAGTACACCACGAAGGTGCGGCCGAGCGGGGCCGTCGCCGTCGTCCCTGTGTGGCGGCTCTGTCAGCTCTGCCTCTGGGAGCATGAGTACGGGGCCGCCGCGGCTAGCAAGATGATGCTGCACTATTTGAGGTCGGTGATCGTAAGGGAGGCCTCCGTGCAGCTGCTGCCGCCGCCCACCGTGGCCGACGCGACGGCGACGCCCATGGAGGATGCGGGGCGTTGGCTGGTGGCGCTCCGCTCCACGACGGAAGAGCTGTGACCAAAAGAAGAAGAGAGGCCCAGAAGAAATGCTCAAATGGAGAGATTTAACCCCCTGCAAAAGTAAAACACGCATTTCTTCACGGCCGGTTGGCATACGTGGTTGTTTTGTTTTTGTTTTACTTTTGCAGGGGGTTAACTCTCACCATTTGAGCATTTCTTCTGGGCCTCTATCTGCCCCTGCGTCCCTTCCTTGCACAGCTATACTATCTACGCAACCCTGTTTCTTTGCTGCCTGCGCGGTTGTCCTCGTCGCGTCCCTGCAGTTGTTGTTGTTGTTGTGTGTGTGTGTGTGTGTGTTCTTGTGGCGGAGGGCGTTTCTTCCTCTCGCTCTTCTCTCCTTTTTGTTTTCTCCTTGTGTCTGGGCCTACGTCCTTGCGTGTGTCACCTCTGTTTGCGTGTTTTTCTTAACTGTTATTCTTCTACTCGTTGCTGCGGCTCATTGTGGGAGTTGTCGTCGGCGTCAGATGTCGCGTGAGGCGCGGGTGGAGGTCGAGTGTTGTGAGGCGGACGCGCGTGAGGCGCCGCAGCAGGCGCCGGTCGAGCCCCCGCAGTTCGGCCTCTGGCCCGGCCTGGCCCTCGCGGGGATGTACATCGGCAGCAGCATTCTGCTCTTCCTCGCGATACGCTACAGCAAGCTGCTGGAGAAGCGGGGGGAGGTGTCGTACGACAGCACGGCGATTGTGATGTCGATTGAGGCGACGAAGATCCTCGTCTCGGTGGCGCTGCGGTACGCGGCGAGCGGGGAATTTCTGCCGTACAGCGTGACGCTCGGGCCGCGGCGCGGGCAGCTGTGGCGGATGAGTTGGTTCTACCTCGTCCCCGCCCTCCTCTACGCCCTGTACAACAACCTCACCTACCTGAACCTCCGCCATTTTGACCCCGGCACGGTGCAGCTCTTCATGCAGACCCGCATCCTCTTCACCGGGGTTCTCTTTGTGCTGCTGCTCCACCGCTCCCTCTCCCTGCGGCAGTGGGGGGCGCTGGGGGCCCTCACCGTCGGCCTCTTCATCAAGTACTTCTCCCCCACCGTGGTGCAGACGGTGGGGGTGAGCCTGCTGGCGGTCCAGCTGCAGGCGTTTCTCTCCTCCCTCGCCGGGGTGTACAACGAGATGGCCTTCAAGCGTGAGGCCTGCACCAGCATTCACCTGCAGAACTTCTTCATGTACTTGTACGGCTTTTTTTTCAACCTGCTGCTTGGTCTCCTTGTGGCCCCGCAGGAGTACCTTCGCGGGAGCATCTTTCGCCACCCGCACGTTATCTTCATTCCTATCATCTTTTTGGGAGCCCTCAACGGCCTCACCGCGGCGTTTATCCTTAAATTCATCAACGTCATCGTCAAGGCCTTCGCCGCGGCTGTGGAGGTGGTTCTCATGTCAGTGGTGGCGGCCGCCGTCCTCGGCGAACCGCTCACGCAGCAGGACCTCATAGCCGGCGTCATCGTCACGTGCTCCGTCTACCTTTACTACACCAAAGGCTGCGGCAGCGAGGCAACGTTTAAGCCCAAGTAACGAGGCCATTGAAGGACGCAGGAGGAGGACACGGCGCGGGGAGGAGAGGCAACAGCGGCGGGAAGAAATAGAAGGGGGGTGGAAAGGAAAGAGAGGCAATGAAAAACAAAATCAAACTCATCTTGTGTTGACGCCTCGTGGAACTCAGGGAGAGGGAGGCGGGATGTCATCCTCGCGTTGCCATCGAAGCTGCCGTGGGGGTGCAGCGCAGAAGTGTGCCTGTGCGTGACAGTCCTTCGCCGACTTTGCTGGGCGGGCTGGAGTAGCAATGAGGGGAAGGAATGTGTCATTTCAAGCTCTCCCCTCTCCTTGCCGTGCAAAAATGATAACAAATAAGCACATTAAAACTGGTTCCCCTCTCTCTCCCATGCACACACACACGCTCGCTTTCCTCTGTATGTGTATCGCTAGGCGACGAGAAGGGAGCGGCAAGCGAAGCAGCAGCCGCGGCAGCAGTGGAATGCAGCCGGCAGGGATACGTCGCATACGCTCCAGCTCCACTGAGCAGCGGCGTTCGAGCAGCAGCGGCGGCGTCGCCGGGGCCTCGACGCAGCAGCGGGGGTTGTACGACGTTGACGACATAACCACCCTGGACAGGCACCGCCGCCTCTCCGTCTTGGAGGCGGAGCTGCGACGCTGGAAAGAGAAAGCCGCTGTGAGCGCGCGGGACGCCAGCCACCGTGAGCAGGAGCTTCACCGCGTCAAGTACGAGCACGCCACGGCGCGGCAGCAGCTCGAGAGCGTCATCCGTGACTTGTTAGAGAAGCAGAAAAGCCTTTCCGAGGAGCTGCGGCAGAGCCGCCGTGAGGCGCAGCTGCTTCGTGAGGAGGCGGCGGAAAATCATTCGTTGCTGGCAGTCGCGCAAGAGGCGCAGCATCTGCAGCTGCAGCGGGAGTTGGAGGCAAGTCAAAGTCGTGAGGCGGAAGCCGCAGAGGAGCTCTCCGTCGTGCTGGAAAAGCTGTCCAAGGCAGACTCGTATATCAAGACCCTCTCCGATGAGGCCGTGGAGTATCAGCTGGAGATTGAGCGGCTGCAACGGCAGCTTGACACTGCCGCAGAGGAGATAAACCAGAAGCAGGGAGCGAGAGAGGTGGAGCGCAACTTGCGGACGTCTGCGGAGGCGGCGCGCAGGCAAAAAGGTGTCCGGGAATTATGGACAGAGCTGGCGACCGCGGCGCTTGAGTGCGCCGACAGCTGTGACGCCGTGAGTCGTGAGTGCGACGAGCTCATCGACGTCATCAAGGAGGAGCAGCAGCGTGCTGGCCAGAGGCAAAATAGTATTGTCGGCGCCGGCGCCGGCGGAACCGACACTGTCGCGGTGGAAATGGCGGGGAAGAAGGACCCTCCGCAGGGGCGTGTCACATTCATGTCGTGCAAACCCACAGGGACGGAGCTTGAGCGCCTCCTGCACGCGTCACTCGCCCCGCAGCCGCACGGAGACCGCGCTGGCGACGGCAACGGCGATTCCGCCGTTTGGGAGGGCACGAGCCGTGTGATTGCCCGGCTGCTGCGCGGCATGCAGATGGCGTTGCGTGAGGCCAAAGACGACGTCCTCGTCGCGGGCCGTGCCTACGCGGAGTTGTGTCGCGCGGGCCGCGGCGTGGCGGAGGAGGCAGCGGAGCTGCAGGCTGTTTGCGGCGAGGCGCGTTCCACGGCCGCTGCGCTGGCGGAGCAGCTCGCACGCGCGCAGCAGGACCTCCGCACCGAGACGAAGCGCGCGGATCACCTGCAGGCGTCACTGGACGAAACCTCCAACATCATGGCGGAGGCCGCGGCGCTCGCGGAGGAGCGCACCTCCCGCATGGACAAGCTGCTTCGCGAGAATGCAGCCTTGGAGGAGGCGCTGCAGGCACAGCGAGCGTCCCTGCGGGACCGCGATGACGCCGTCGCCGCGGCGGAGCGGAATCTACGGGCGTTGCAGGACACGATGCGGCGCGAGCAGACGGAGTGGTACTCGATGCGTGAGGAGCTGCAGCGCACCAGGCGGGAGGCCAAGGCGGCGCAGGAGGACCGTGACGCGGCGAGGTCTGAACTGCGCGAAGCGGAGCGCAGCCTGCAGAGGCTGAAGGAGGCGGCGCAGCAGAGCGATGTCGACTGCCGGTACCTGCGCAAGTGCATCGAGGAACTGCAGCGGCAACTGGCACAGACGCAGGAGGACCGAGACGCCCTACGTGAGGCGGTGGAGTCGGTGGAGCGGGAGAAGCGACAACTGCTGGTCCAAGTAGACCGCTTGCAGCGGGACGGCGGTGGCGCCGCCACCGCCGCTGGAGTTGGAGGTGGCCTCTACGCCACCGTGCCCGCTTCCTCGCCGCCGCAGCAGCGGAATGGGGGGCAGCGCGAGGAGGCGGAACTGGCGGCGCCCAGTGTGAAGCCTCGCGACGTTGCGTCGCCGCGGCAGCCTTCGCAGGGGCCAGGGCCGATGGATAGAGTGCGATGGTGGGAGGAGAAGCTGCAGGCGATTACGTCTTCCGTGTCGGCATCTACGCCGCTCGTCAGCACTCCGCCGGTCTCTCGAAACGAAGAAAAGTTCGGCTTGACCGAAGATTTGCATCTACTCGCCACGAACGGTGCGACTCTCGCCTCGTTGGCGTACGGAGCCTCGCCGCCGGCGGAGAAACACGATGGCAACCGCGTCGGCATGTAGTGCGTGAAGCGTATTCGTTTTTTTTGTTTTTTTTTTCCTTTAGGTTCTTATCAGCAGGAGGTGACGAATGCGGGGGGCGCCGGTCTGTTTCTACTTGTGTGCCTGTACTCTGTTTTTGTTTTTAACCCCCCTTGCTGTTTGGCCTTCTTTTCAGAGCTGTTGTCTAACGCTGTGATTGACGCAACTTTACTTCATCTGCGTATGTGCATATATATATATATATGTGTGTGTGTGTGCATCTGTGTGAGTGTGTGCGTGTGTGTGCATGTTGGACTGCCGAGTGGTGGGGGAGGGGGAGGGGGAGGGGGAGGGGCGAAGTTCCTCGGCTCCTGTTGTGTTTCAGTATCCCCTTCGCCTCCCGCCGTGTTTCCTTTTTTCTGGTTTTTCCTCGGTTTGTGTGTGTGCGTGTGCGGCTGCAGGGCAGAAAGGGGGGGGGAAGAAAAAAGGCGGGGAGAAGGAGTGGGGGGCGTTGGAGGGCGTCCGACGCGAACACCACAATTCCTCCCCACTCCCGCCCGAAGAGCGTCGCATGGAAGTCGCTGTGGCGCCGTTGCCCTTCCTCGCCTCCGCCGCCGCGCGGGTGCCGCAGCAATGGTCGCTGCTTGCCCACCACCGCAACTCGCGCCAGCCGCCGTCGCAGAGGCACGCGGAGACGTCCTCCACCTCCACCTGCGGCGCGGCGGAGGGAACGTGCGACGGCGGGAGTGTTGGCGCCCCCGCCGGGGCGGTCGCCGCCTTGCCGCGTGGTCTGACGGATGCTCACGAGGAGGAGACGCCGCCGCGCTCTCCGACGGTCTCCACCGTCTCCGTTCTCTGGCGGGCGCCGCCGAGCGAACCCCCCGACGGCCGCGGCGGCGCCGGTGGGGGAGGCCGTGGCTCAGCAGCGTCTGCTGCAGTGGAGCGGGACGGTGGGGGAAACAGACTACTAACGTTCCTGCAGCGGCGTGCCTCTCCGTGCCAGCACGCGGAGGCGGAGGGTGCGCTGGGCGCCTTCGCGGCGGTGCTGGCGCAGGTGCGCGCGGTACACCTTTCGCGGTGCCCCTTGTGTGCCCCACGTCGCCCACCGAACTGGTGGACCCCAGCACGGGAGGAAAAGCGGTGCCGCGAGACCTCGCATGGCAGGCGCAACCGCAGCATCAAAAAGCTGCGGCAACACAAATACGACGACGGTGGTGAGGACGCGGACAACGAGGAGGATTCGGAGCTGGACACTTTGGGGCGTCCACGCACCCCTATAGACGGCGCAATGGGAGACGGGGAGAGGCCGGGGCTGCTGCTAGAGAAGTGGGACACCAGAAACTGCTTACAAACATCCTTGACGGTGGCGCATCAGCGGCTGCGTCTAGAGGCAATGGCGTTTCTTGAGCACGTCTACAGTCGCCGAGAGCATCTCCACGCGACGCGCCCTGCCATGTACGCTGTGCGTCCAGATGCACATCTGTTGCGGCAGGAATGTGCCGCACTTGGTGGCATCGTCCTCGTCGAAGCCCTCTTGCTGGGACTGTGACACCAGCGGGGGGCAAGTATCACACGGTGCGCAGTTGTGATTGTTTTCGTGTCGATCATTAATTTTTTTTTTTTCCTTCTTGTTGCTGTTTTTTTTTTTGCTCGGGCTACGTTTGCTTGCCTGATTTTTTTTTTCTCCCCCTGCCTGTCTGCCTGCCTGCACTCCTGCTCCTGCTCCTCCTGCTGTGGCGGCGGCGGTGGGGATGGTGGCTGCTGTTGCTCTCACTTGCTGTCGCTTCCTCCTCCCTGCACGGCGGCGCCAAGGGCGGAAAGCTTGCGTGTCTGTGTGTGCGGGACGAAGGAAGGAAGGGAAGGGGAAACGGCAAAATGTCGTCCGACGACGAGCAGGGGTTGGGCGATTTGTTTGCCGCCGGCGACGAGGAGGCGGAGGTGGAGTGCCCCATCGAGGAGATTGTCGTGGACCGCGTGCGGCTGAGTCGCGAGGGCGCGACGAACGCGGGCTTCGCGATACGCCTGGAGTGCTTTGACCGCGAGTCGCCCGCGGAGGCGGAGGACGGCGCGGGGCGGCGTCTTCTCCCGCTGCACGTGTACGTCCGCCACAAGCGGCACAGTCTGTGGGGTCACAAGCTGTGGAATGCCGCGAAGTACCTGGTGAAGCGGATGGACGGTGGCATGATTGACGTGCGCGGGAAGGCGGTGCTGGAGCTCGGCGCCGGGCTGGGAGTTCCGTCGCTCGCCGCCTTCCGCAACGGCGCCCGCTGCGTGGTGGTGACCGACTACCCGGACCCCGACCTCCTCGAGATCCTCGACATGAACGTGCAGGCAAACTGCACCGCGGACCTGCTTGACGCCGACGCCGCGGCGTTTCTCGTGCGGGAGGCGGAGCGGCTGAAGCTGGCGCGGGCGCCGGACGCGGGCGACGAGAGGGCGCTGTCCGAGGCGGAACGCCAAGGCGCGCTGCGCACGCGCTGCGTGGTGGAGCCGCTGCTCTGGGGCAAGGAGGAGCACATTCGTAAGGTGCTCTCGTACACCGGCGGCGGCGGTTTTGAGGTTGTGCTGCTCTCTGACATTCTTTTTAATCACGTCTGCAACGACGACCTGGCGGACACGCTTGTGCGCGTCCTGCAGCGCAGCCGGCACGCCGCCGCGTACTGCGTCTTCTCCCACCACCGCGCGCACAAGCAGGTGGAGGACCTGGAGTTCTTCGACAAGTGCGTGGCGCGTGGGCTGCGCTGCGAGCAGGTGGACGAGGAGAGCTACCCCATGATGTTCCCCGACGACCGCGGCCCGGTGGAAATCCGGCAGCCGGTCAAGGCGTACAAAATTGTGCGCCGCTTCGACGACGCGGGGGCGGCGCTGGACCCCGGGAACGACGCCTTCGACGTCGTCATTCAAGGGACGGGGATGGTGCAGTCGATGGTGTCCGCTGCGCTCGCCCGCAGCGGCGTCCGTGTGCTGCACTGCGACGGCGAGGACGACTACGGCGGCGCCTTCAAGACCATGACGGTGGAGCGGATGCGCGCGTACCTTGCGGGTGCCCCCGCGGCACCGCTTGAGGTCGCAGGCGACAGCCGCGGCGAGGAACACCCCCCGCGCCGCCGCGGGGTCATTGCGGTGGACCGCATGGACGAGCTCGAGCCGTGCGAGCGACACCGCTACCTGCTGGACCTGCTTCCAACCCACTACCTCTCCAACGGGGAGACGGTGCGGCAGCTTATTTCCTCTGACATGGCGCGCCACATGGAATTTCAGCGCCTCAGCGGTTTCTTTTTTATGCTCCCCTCGGGCGAGGGCAAGGTGCGACTGCAAGGCGTCCCGCTCACACGCGCGCAGGTGTTTGCGGCCACGCATGTGGGCCTGCTACAGAAACGCCGGCTGATGAAGTTTGTCAAGGACGTGGAGGCGTCGCTCGCCGAGCAGCTGCATGCTCGTACGGCGGACGTCGGAGATGACCCGCTTTCGCAGGTGGCCCTGGAGCGAGCCCGCGTTGCCGCCGAGGAGGCGAAACGCCTCTTCGCACAGGAGGCCGCCGCACACCCCGATGAAACGTTAAGTATGATGATTGAGCGCAAGTACGGCATCAGCGGGGTCGCGCTTGACACCGTGACGCTCATGCGACAACTTGATGCCGCACCCGGGGATCTGCTGCACTCTTTGGAGTTGGTGCGGCATGTGCTTACATCCATCGGGAGCTTTGGTGGCAAGACCCCTTTCCTGCAGCCCGCCTACGGCAGCAGTGAGATGCCGCAGAACATGTGCCGCATTGCCGCTGTGTGGGATGCCACTTTTGTGCTGCGGCGTAGTTTACTTCCGCCCTGTCGTGGTGGTCTCCGTCGGCAGGAAACGGGCGCCGTGGATAGCGCCACACCGTCGATTGAGATGAGTAACCGTCAGCGCGTAAAGGCAAAGGTGGTGGTGGTGCCCCGCACCCTGGCGCGTGCGTTTGCGGCCTCATCTTCCTCCGCCTCTCCCCCGGCTCCTGCCCCGGCATCCACAGGGAAGGATGGCGCCGACAAGAGCCATCCCGAGCATCATGGCAGCAATGAGGTGCGGTTCTCTCGGGTTATTGTGGTGGCGAAGACGCCGCTTGTGTCGTGGGACGCGCTGCGTGCCGCCGGCTGCGCGGGCGAGGCGAAGGCGGAGGCGGAGGACGACGACAAAGGGGAGGAGGCCTTTCCGCCGCTCTTCCTTGCCCTCTGCGAGGTGCGACCTGGGGTGGTGGTGCACGTCCAGCAGGTGAGCGCCGCCGCGGAGCAGGCCCCAGGCGATGGCGGCTCCGTCGTTGTACACTTCACCGCCAATGCGTGGGAGATGGACGCGGAGGAATTGCGCCAGTTCGTTGCGGGCACCTTTGTGCGGCGCGATGGCGAGCCGAACATTGCCGACGCCCCGCAGTTGGCGGAGGCCGCGGTGCTCTTCCTTGCCTCCTTTACTGTTGGGGAGGCGGAGGAGGCGCTGCACGGTCTCCTGCACCCCGCCGCAGAGGAGGGCGCAGACGCTAGCGAGACCCGCAAGGCCCATCCGTACGCCGTGGAGGAGCACCGCAGGCGCCTGCGGCAGCAGCGGCAGCAGCAGCGGCAGATGTGTGGCGGGGAGCCGGCGAGCGGCGACGCCGCCCCTCGCGTGGTGCCTGTGCCGACGCTCTTCGAGAATCTTATCGACGACGGCGCCTATCTGCGGGCTGCGCGGCGGGCGTACGACGAGGTGGTGAAGGCTCTGCAGCTGCAGGAGGGCGGCGGCAGGGAGTGCGTATTTTTTGAACGCCTGCCACCTGTTCCCGGGCTGGAGGCGTGAGCGGCGACGACGGCGTGTGTGCATGTGTGTGCAATAAGGTGCCCTTAAGCAAGTGTTGAGGATTAAACCCAAGGTGAAACGGTGAACAGCGAGAAATGAGAGAAGGGGAGGACGGACGCACGGACGGGGGGAGTGGGAAAAGAAAAAGGGGGAGGGGAAAAAACGTAAGCAGCAAAAGAGGTATACAGTTGAAATAGCAAGGAAGGGAGTGGCGGTGCTCCGCGCGTTGTGGCTGGCCTTCCGCCCTCCTTCGCTCTGCGTGGAGGTGACTGTTTGAGAGGCGCGCCTGCCTTCCCTCGACGGCTGCTCGCTTCCCGTATTCTACGCTTGGTTCTCTGGAGGCCACCGCGGAAAAGGGATCCACATAAAATAATTAGTGGCGGTGGCGCGATGCTGTACGACCGGACAATCGCGAAGTTTTTATTGGCAATCACGACGGCCTTTTACGCGTACTACGTCCTCTGGATCGGGGTGACGCCGTTTATTGACCCCTCCCACTTCACGCAGCGCCTGTTCCCCCCGCGCGAGTATGGACTGCTGCTCGCGGCTGTCGTGATGACGTCAGGCCTGGGCCTCGCCATGACAGCGGCGTCCGTGCACACCATCCGGCAAACAGGCACGGAGGGCGAGGGCAGCGGCAAATTCGCGCTGGCGGTGTGGAACGACAAGGAGGCGCGCGAGCCGTCGTCGTCGTGACAGCTTGCTGACGCCGCGCTAGGCGGGCGACAGTGTGGGGTGGAGTGAGGTGGGCATGTTGTCCTTTTCCTCGTCACGCCTCACGTGGGGTTGTCTTCTTTGCTTCCTCGCACCTCTCACCTCTTCTTCCTTTCTTCTTTGCATTTCTCTATTTCTCTCTCTTTGTGTGTATCCCTCTGTTTCGCTGCTTTTCCCAACGTTTTTTTTGCCTCCCCTGCTGCAGAGTGCCAGAAGTGGCTTTTTCTGTGTGTCACTGTGTGTGTGTGAGGGAGAGTGAGTGGGTCCGTGTGTCTGTTTGTGTGTGAGGAAGGAGAAGGAGGAGGAGGCGTCTGTCAATGACGGCAACTTTGTTTCGGCAGTACATCTCGTGGGTTCGAGAGAACGGGGAGAATGCGCAGAGCCTGGAGCGGCTCACGCAGATGGCTGCCAGGATTGTCACCGACCCACGCAACCTCGTCACCACCGAACTCGCGTGGACGCTGATCAACCTGCACTCGCTCGTGAATAGGACGATCCACGCGACGGCGGGTCGGCGCGTGGGACGCACCGAGCAGGTCGGCATCTTCCTCCGGACGGTGTCTGAGGTGGAGTGTCTGCTGGAGCTGGGCCTCCGTCGCTTCTGCGGCCACGAGGCGGCGTGGAACGTGCTGCTGGCGCTGCAGACCCTCAAGTGCGTGCTCAACCTCTTTGTGCACCAGCAGCTGTTCATTGTGCCGTGGATCTGGGCCGCCGTGCGCCGCCGGCTGCGACTGATGCTGCAGCAGCTCATGCGGCTCCCAGAGTACGGCAGGCGGGCGTCCTCCGCGGTGACGGAGCGGATAACTGCCTCGTTCGTCGGCCGCGTCCCCTCGGCGCCGTCGCAGGCGGGCACGCTTGGGCCCGCAAACACGCGACTCGTCATCCCACGGGTGGCGGTGCGGCGGGTGCACCGCCGGGCCGCGGCGGACAACGACGACCAGGCGGGCGTTGCGGAAACCGGGGCGTCCTTCCCGTGCACGGCGATGGACCTGCTGGGAATTTTGGTGGACCTTCTTCTGGTGCTGCGGCCGCTGCTGCTGCTGTTCTGCGCCAGGCGCGCGTTCCCGGCGGGCGCGGCGGGCATTGCCGTGCTGCCCGTCCTCCCTAGAGCGGGCGACGACGACGACGGGCGCGGCGAGGCGAAGAAAGACGAAGCAGCGGCAACGACGGCGCCCACGGACGCGCCCGTCCGCGACGACCTGGCCCTCGTGCACGCAGTGATGCACGACGGGGTGTCCAAGTCGCTGCTCTCCAGCTGGGGGGTGGGGCTGTCGTTCTTCGGCCTCGACGCCGCGCTCGCCCTGCTCTCGCGGCACATCCGGCGCCACCGTGTGCCGGTGGTGTACATCAACAACGCCGACGACCGCCAGGGGCCCGCGGGGGTTGCCGGGGCCGGGGGCGTGAGGGACGGCGAAGTCTCCTCCCGCGGCGGCGACGCCGGCAGCGCCCTCCTCGACAAGGCGGGAGCCAACGGCAACGGCGACGCCGCGGCGCCGTTCCTGCCGCGGCCACCGACGGGGAACGTGACGGAGTTCATTCCCGCGGTCTCGCGCGACAGTCTCCGCGTGCAGCAGGTGCTTCGCAACATGGCCTTCTCCTTCCTGCGGGACCCCTTCTTCCCGGCGTTGCTGCAGCAGTTTGTGTACAGAAACTTCGTCGTGGGCCGCGTCAACCGCATCCCGCTCTTGGGGCCGATTCTCGCATTTCAGGTCGCCTACTTTCTCTGTAAGCAGCACTACTGCTTCATGTACCTTCTCGAGCAGTGATGGGCCGCAGGCGTGCATGAGTCTGAATGTGTGATGTGTGGGCCGCAGCCGCGAAGAGTAACGGAAGAAGAGGAAAGAAAATAGGGGGAAAAAGTTGGCATCGTCGTTGTCTCCCCGCGGTTAACATGATCAAAAACAAAAACAAAAACGAACAAACTCCGTCGTCAGCAAAACGCGTAAGCGGCGTCTGCACGGAGCTAGGAGGAGAGAGTACTGACAGTTAAAGACGCAAAAAGAGGGGAGGGGGAACGAAACGAAGGAACGACTAAAAAAGAGTGACCGCTGACGCGTGATAGGCTGGGCAGGTGTGTGCTGCTTCTGCGTGCCCACGTCTCTGGTGGAGGCGGTGGCGCAGGGCGGAGGAGGGCGGCAAGGCTGCAGACACAAATAACGACATTCACCGAAAGGAGGAGAGGAGAGTGGAGGGGGTTGTGTGTGTGCGTGTGTGTGTGTGTTGTTATGCGGCGTTAGTTATGGGTGCCTATTTGCTGCTGACTGTGCCGCTGGAGTGCGGCACCGTGACGTGGGCCTCCCAAGCGGAGTCTCGTCGTTCTGGCGTTGGTCCCCCCTTTTTTTTTCTTCTTTTTTTCTTTTGACACACACATTGTGGTGGCGCACGGGGCCGTCTGTTTTAGTTGTGTGTGCGCCACGCGAGAGAGCCAGGGCGAAGCCGCCGCGGGGAGAGGTGGGCGGGAAGGGTCGCACGCGTTGTTTTTTGTGCTTGCTCGCTTCTTATGTGCCTTGGCTGTTGCCTTCTAGTTGCTGGCGGGCGCTGCGGGGGAGGAACCCGTTGGTGCTTCAGCGTGTGTTAGTTGTTGTTTTTTGTTGTTGTTTTTTCCCCCCGTTTTTGCCTCCTTCTCCCTCTGTGTGCGTCTCGCCCTGCTGGCCCTTCACCGCCCCAACGCAGAGAGGAGGAAGCAGCAGCAGCGGCAGCAGCAGCAGCAGCAGCAAAGGAGCGAAGGCGTAGGGGGACCGCCAGGCAGCTCGGAATTCAGCTCGGGGGCGCACCTCTGCGGGAGGGGGAGACACAGCGGGCCACAGCACGCACGCGAGTAGAACATCCCTGCGCGCGGGGCGCGGCCGGCGGCGATGACAAGCGCGGGGGGCGAGATGCAGGCGACGGAGGAGGCCGTGCAGCGCGACGAGGCGGCGCAGGCGGTGGAGGTGGCGCTGCGGCGGTACCGCAGCAGCGTGCGCGGGAAGCTGCTCGGCGAGGCCCTCGTGGAGTCCTCCTCCGTCGCCGCCGCCGCGCTGGCGGAGATGACGCAGTCGCACGCCCGCACGGTGGCGGAGATGAATGCGCAGATTGCGGGGCTGCAGGAGCAGCTCTTCGCCGCGGCGGCCGTGATTGAGGCGTTGGGCGGGCGAGCCGCCGGCGACGACGACGCCCACGCGTCCTCGTCCCCCTCCGTGGCGCAGCGCTCCTTCGCCCTTGAGGTCGACACGAGTTCGCATGAGCGGGGCGATGAGAGCGCGCGGCTAACGGAGGAACAGCAGCAGCAGCAGCGCCTGTCGTCGCTGGGGGAGGAGGCGACATCGGAGGCGTTTCGCACGGCGCAAAGTGGCAGTCGCTGCACAGGCGGAAGCACCTTTGCCGAAGGCGACTCGGCGCAGTCCGCCCTCTGCGCGGAGGTGCTTCACACGCGTGGCACATTGAAGTTGCAGCAGCAGCAGCAAGCGGCTATGGGGACGCAGCTGAAGGAGTTGACCGCGCTGCTGTCAAGGGTGGTGAAGGAGAATGCCGCTTATCGGCAAGAGGTGCAGCTGCTGCGTGCGACGACAGTTCCCGTCGAAGAGCACCGGCAGCTGCTGCAGGCGCGTGATGCGGTGGAGCAGGAGTGTCAAACAGTGAAGCTGGAATTGCAGCGCTTAAAGTCCGAACTGGAGACGGCGTTGGGCGCCGTGTCTCTGCCGCCGCTGTCGCAGGAGGCGGAGGTGAAGGTGGAGGGGACTGGCGTGCTGGATTTGGGGCGCATTCATGAAGGCTACCGTGCCGTGCTGCAAGACCCCTCCGTGTCGGCCGTGCCACCAGCAGCAGCAACCGCAACCGCAACTGAGGACGTTACACACGACTCAAGTGGGAAGGAGCAGACCTTTCATTCGGCACATGGTCCCACGGCGGAGGCTTCGGCCCCCGCACCCGCCTGGAACGAAGAGGATTTGCAGCACGAGGGCCTGTGGAAGACGGCCATTCGAGAGTTGGAGCAGCAGGCCGTCATTGCGGCGTCGCAGTTATCGGCGGCTGAGCGGCTGCGGGAGGCGGAGGGCCGCATCGAGGAACTGGAGGCCATCCAGGCGGAGCTGCGCACCTCGCTGCAGACGCTGGAGGCTGAGGACAAGTGCGTGCGCGAGGACTGCGAGCAGCTGGTGTTCCGCAACGCGGTTCTGACGCAGCAGGTGGCCTCCCTGCTTGTACGCGTCGAACGGCAGCGCCGCACGCTGGAGCGGCAGGAGCGCCGGGGGCCGTCACTGGAGGAGGGGGAGTCGGTGTCCGACTCCGAGGTGCTCCTCGCGGACGAGGAGCCGCTGCGTCCCAACAGCCGCCGTGCGCAGCGGGGCCGCGTGGCATCGGCGGTTCAGTCCCTGCTTGAGCGCCGCGGGGCCGTGTCGGGGGCTGCGACGGGGGCGGGCGAGGGCGCTGTTAGTTTCCTGGACGTCACGCTGCAGCCGGCGGAGCCGCTCGAGGTTGAGGGGGGCGTGCGGACAGGCATGGGCGTGTTCGCCAGGAGCTCGCACCGCCCGCGCCGCTCGCTGGCGCTGCGCAACTTGGGCTCCCCGTCGGTGGAGGTGGACGTCACGCGTGTCCCGCAGCTCCCGGTCACCGACCGGCTCACCGGCGTCGCGCTGGGACGTCCGTCGCACTACGCGACCGTCGGCCCCGCGGCGGCAGATCGCGGCAGCGGCGGCGGCAGCGGCAGAAGCAGCCGCAACGGTGCACGCAGTGGCGCCTCCGCGGACTCGGCGACAAGGACGCTGTGCGTCAGCGGGGACACGGAGGAGAACCGGCAGTTCCTCGAGCTCCTCCGCGCGGACGAGAACCTCGACCGCTACTCCGTCAACTCCGTGGCGGAGTTGCTGCAGCGCAACCAGGAGCTGCTGCAGCAGCTGTACGCGGCGACGCAGCGCGCCGAGGCCGCGGAGCAGCAGCAGCGCAAACGCGACGGCGAGGAAAGTGTGGCGGCGGACGCGGGAAGTCGCGCCACCTCCGACGCCGAGGCCGCGCAGCCGCACCGCCGCGTGAACCGCAAACGTAGGCGGGAAGAGACGCCGTCGGAGGAGCTGCCGTCACAACAGCAGCACCAGCAGCAGCCGGAAGAGGAAGAGGAGGAGGTGGAGGTGGAAAGTAGCGGAGGGGGGAACTCAGTTCAGAGACGTGCGTTCCACCATCACCGTGAAGAAGAGGAAGAATACGACGACGCGGCAGTAGGGGAGGAGGAGGAGGACGGCGACGAGGACGCGCGACGGCTTCCGCAGGTGTCGGACGATCGCTACCTGCAGCTGCAGGAGCACATGGAGGGGCACATGGACGCCGTGCTGCGGAAGCATAGGGCCCAACTGACGCTGACGGACAACGGCCTGGCCGCCTCGCTCCTTCGCGTATTGGAGCTTGGGCGCAGGCCGGGTGATGGCGGCAGCGGGAGCGGTGTTCTCTGCCCTGAGGGCGGCGGCACAGAGGCATCGGCATCATCGGTGGCAGCGGCGGCGGCGGCCACAGCAGGCACCACGCAGGACGCCGTTGTCGCCTCGCTTGTTCGCCTCTGCACGGAGCTGGGGGTACGCGCGGCCAACCAGGCCGTCGAACTCGCCTCCGCCCGGCAGTCGGAGCACGCGGAGATGATGCAGAAGTGCTGGGGAGAGGCGCAGCGTGTCCTCCTCCGCTCCGCGGCGGATCTCCAGGCGGCCATCGCCGGCCTTCCGCACGCCGCAGCGTCCACTGTGGCGCTGCAGAGCGACGAGCCCGCGGCGGCGGAGGTGGGCCGTCGCGGGGAGCACGACCAGGCGCAGCTGCTGCACAACATCACAAGTCTGCTGCGCACGGCGTCGCTGAAGGAGCACACCATTCAGCGCGTCCTGCAGTTGGCGGCCCGGCGGCAGCGGATGGTGCAACGCGCTTGCGCCGAACCACGCCGAGCGGCTGGCGGTGATGAGGAGGAGGATGAGGCACACGACGACGACGACGACGACGACATCGCCGGTGGGCAGCAGGCCGTGCGGCAGCTCCAGGTGAAGCTGGAGGGGGTGCAGTCGCAGTACGAACGGCTTCTCGCAGCCCATCACGAGGAGCGGAGGCAGCACACGACGCTGCTGGATCGCATGTGGCGCATGGAGGAGGAAGCGGCCGCCGCCGGACGCTCCCGCGACGAGGCGCTGGCGCGCATGGCGACGATGATGACGCGCGAGGAGTACGAGGCGACGGTTGACGCTCTCGACACCGCCAAGGCGACCATTGAAGACCTGGAGGCGCAGTTGCGCCACGCGCAGGAAACCAACAACCAGCAATTGGGGGAACTCGACCGCTGGCGGCAGGCCGGCGTGGAGCACGAGCGGCAACGCGAGGCGGACGCCGCGATTGTGGCGACGCAGCTGTCCGAGAAGGACCGCCTTATTGCCCAGCTGGTGCAGCAGAACCACCAGATTGAGTCACGCAACGCGGCGCAACAGGCAAGCATTCGTCAGCTGGAAGCGAGTGCGACGCAGCAGCGGGATAAGCTGGCGTCCCAGTACGAGGATGAACGGGCGCTTCGCGAGCGGCTGCGCCGCGTCGAGCTCGCGTTGCTGGAGCAGCAATGCACGCAGGACTTGCTGTTTTCCATCTTCCCCGACGATCGTGCGCTGGCGGAGAACCGAAACTTGATTGAGGCAATGCGTGGTGAGAAGGAGCGACTCGCGGAGACGGTGGCGTCGCTGCAGTTGAGCCTCGACAAGGCGCACCGAGACTTGGCCTCCGCCCAGCTGCGCATACACGCGGCGGAGCAGGCGCGTCAGGAGGCGGAGCTGCGGCTGCATGAGGCATCCTTGTCTCGGGCCAACGCCGCAACGGCCACGGCGGCCCCGGCCGCAGCAGCAGCAGGAGCGGGGGCGACGACTGCCACGGCGACGGCGGCAGACACAGCGGCGGTGGAGGTGGAGTTGCTGCAGCGCACAAATGCCACGCTACTGGCGGAGCGGCGGGAGTGGATGGAGCGGGAGGCACTCCTGCGTGAGCAGCTCACGGCGCTTGGGCGGGACCCGGTCAGTGAAAACGCGCGGCGCTACGGGCTGAAGGCGACCCGGGGCTTTGAAGAGCAGCTGGTGGAGATGCAGGAACGCTGTCTGGCGCTGCAGGCGCAGGTGGAGGAGGCCAAAGGGGTGCAGGAGACCGTCACACAACTCACCGGCGAGGTGGCATCCCTGACGGCGCAGCTGGCCGCCGCGCAGAACGCCCTGGCGACGCAGCAGGCCTCCCACGAGGCGCTGCGGAAAGAGCTGGAGGCGACGGTGCTGGACATGCAGCAGAAGGAGGAGTCGCACGACGCGGTGAAGCTGACGCTGGCGGAGAAGGAGGAGCTCATCGGCAGCATCACCGGGGCGATCAGCACGCTCGAAAAGGAAGTGGAGAAACTGGACGAGCGGCTGCGCGCCAGCGACGAGGAGCGGCGGCGCCTCTACCAGGACAATGTAAAGCTCATCGAGAACGTCGACGCGCTGGTGGAGGACGTGAGGAAGAAGGATGCGGAACGAAAGGCGGCGCAGGCGGCTTTGGCGCAGGGGCTTGCCTCTGCCTCGGCGGCGGCGGCGGCGTCGCACCGGTGGCGCGGGCGCAGTGCCGGGGGTGGAAGCGGGGCGGGGCCCACGTCCATCACCGGCTCCCTCGGGAGAACTCCCACTTAGAGAGAGAGAGAGCCGCCGGTGTGTGTGCGCGTGGTTGCGGTACCCTGATTGCCTTTTTTTTATCTTTTTTCAAGAGGCATGGCTGCTACTGTTGCTGCTGCATCGGTGTGCGTTGGCGGCTGCTTGCGAGGAGGAGGAGATGAAGTATAAAAAGAGAACAAGAAGGAAGGGAGCATGCGAGAGGGAGGAATAAAATGGTGAACGTCCCCTTGCAGAGGAATGCTGTGAGAACGGGGTGAGAGGAATGGGGAGAATACATATGAAAAGCACCTTGCGGCGTGTTGCTTCCAGCGAGAAGGCCTCTAAAGGGGAGTGTGGCCCAACGAAGCAGCGCTGTGTGTGAGGCGTTTTTTCTTTAAATTATTATTTCGCTTTTCTCTCTCCCCCGTCCAAACACGCAGGCATACCCCATGCAGAGAAAATGATGGGGCTTCTTGGCGATGACGCCGCGTGTACGTGCCTCTGCATACTGTCTGTGTGCCTGAGTGTGAGTGTGTGTGCTTTTTTTTTGTTGGTTGTCTGCGGGTCGACTTGCGTCACCGCTGCCTGCGCCGCTGCTGCTGGTGGTGGTGGTGGTGGTGGTGGTTACTATTTTTGCTTCCAACTTTTTATGCGTTTC